CTCAGATAATAGGACCATTCGGTTACAAGAAGACAAACATTGATTTTCCTGAGTGTAAGGGCCCCCAGAGGGACCACAGGGGTCCATGGGTGGACCCAGGGTGGCCTGGGAAGCCCCACGTGTTTGCAACCGTGTGTGTGTGTGTGTGTGTGTGTGTGTGTGTGTGTGTGTGTGTGTGTTGTTCCTGAGAGAGCACCGTGAATCCCCAAAGGCAGGAGTCCCTGCTCTGGGGTTTTGCTGCTGAGGTATGGGTTGGTCTTTGCTCTGCTTGTCCCCTCTGGGTCGTCCTGGGTGCCTGGGACATTACTGGTTTATTCCGTATCGCTCCCTCTCCCTTCCCCTCTCTGACTCCCTCTCCAAGTTTAAAAAGTCCCAAAGGCTAGAAACAGAACCAGGGGAGGCAGTGGAGTTCTGAGGGTGAGCATGCAGGCAGGAAATCTCTACTCGAGACTTGCCTTGAGTTCACCCAGCTCCTGGAAGCCAGTCCAGTGGGGAATCCAGGCACCGGGAGCCTGCCCGGAGCTGTCGGTGAGGGTTTTAGATGGCCTGGAGTGGGGACAGGGACAGTGTGCCCTTTGGCCAGCTGGCTTCTCCTTCTACTGTCACCCGCCTTTGGCTGTCTCTTGATTCCCAGAGGGAGGGGACACCCCAAGAACCCCCAAAAGGGCACCACCGTCCACATGGGCTGGAGCAGGAGGGAGCTTGAGGGTCACGTGCAGGCTGCATCTCCCACTGGACTCCTTCTCACCTTTGACCAACAACAGACTCTGCTACGACCGAGGGGGAAATGTCCTGGTCGTGTTTCATTTCTTTTTATTTCCCTGGTCGACACTTGGAGTCAAGTGGACAAATGACACAGGCAGAAGGAGGGAACTGGAATGAGGGACTGAGGAGTCCAGATGGTCCCACAGCACCCCGGGCAAATGGCTAGGGGACAAGGGTGCCCGATCGTTGATGATGGGCTAAGTCCCTTTATGAGGTGGGGGGAGCAGCTCTAGAGTGTCCCCAGGTTTAAGTGTGGAGGGCAAATCGGACGTGCAAAATTTCTGCAGGGAGAGATAGGTTGCATTTCTGTAAAGGAGGTGACCCCTGCACAGCCACACCTTGAGATCCTGGGGCCCCTTGCAGTCTACCTCTCCTGGTGCTGCCACAGCTTGGAGCACTGCAGCTTGCGGGCAGGCTGGGATGGGGACCTTGGAGCCCTCTGGGCCATGCAGGGCCAGTTCTGAGCACAGCCACATCACCAGGGGCTCACCCAAGGGGGCCAGAAAGCAAATGTCACATCTACACTGAAGGGGCAGCCCGGGCACCCCACTGGTTGCAGGTGGCTTTCAGGCAGGCATCCCATGTCCCCCACCAAACGCCATCATGTGAGGTCAAATCCCGGGCATGAGTGCATAGACGGAGACCTGGTGTGGAAGGCCTCACGTCCCGAGGGCTCCAGTCCACTCTTTTCAGGAGAGCCCAGGATCTACAGTCCAGGCTCTTGGGTCTGCCGTCCCTCCCTAGGGGCCCAAGGAAGTCACCCCATCCTGTGGGGCCTCAGTTTCCCCTCATGTTCACAGGAGCCCTAGGACTGCCTGGGGGTGGGGGGCTCAGGGCCCCAGGTCGGGGGCAGAGGGACACCAGCAGCCAGGTCCAAGGAGCCCTCTTTCCCCTGAGCCATTAGTCCCACGGGAACAGGTGGCTCTAGGCACTTCATGGGTATTGAGGTTCCTCTAATCTCTAAGACCCCTTCCAAACTGCACTCCCTACTTGAGATGAAGGATAATTAGCAGCCCATGTCTGTGGTGGGACGACGTGAGACCCAGGCTCCGGGGCCCTGCTGAGCAGATCGGGGAGGGGGTGCCGCGGGAGCGGGAGAGGAGATGCTCCGAGACCGGAGAGAAGTCACAGGTTGGGCACCCCTCCCCAGTCACCCTCGTCTGAGCATCAAAGCTAACATCCCAGCCTAAAAGCTAGGTCAGGAGAAAAGGAGACACGGAGGAGGAAAGGAGGGAGGGGAAGGCATGAGTATTTGGGCTCCCCCTCCTCAGGCTTTACCACGGCATCACATTAAATGCCTGGGATCTGAGTTCAAGCCCAGACTCCCCACTTAGCGCTGGGGCCCCAGCTTCCTCATCTGTAAAATGGGGAAAGTAGTTTTTACCCTGCAGGGTATTTGGGAGGGCCCGAGGAGACAATGCGCACGGGATGCTCAGTGTTTCCAGGGAAAAGATGCAGAGCCCAGACGTCAACCCTCCACTGACGGTCAATGGATTGTCCGCGAGGAGAACAGAACGTTTAATGGCGAAAGAAGAGTCTCGCCAACAAATGGTGCTGGGAGAACGAGCTATCCTCGGGCAAAAGAAGGAAACCGGATGCTTATTGTACACCATATACCAAAATTGACTCAAAATGGACCAAAGATCTAGACATGAGAGCAAAAACTACAAAAGTCTTAGAAGAACACATGGGGGTAAACATTCACGACCTTGGATTTAGCGGTGGTTTCTCTGATATGACATCCAAAGCACGAGCAACAAAAGGAAAAAAAAAATAGATCAATTAGATTTCACTAAAATAAAAAAAAAATGTTGTGCATCAAAGGACACAATCAAGAGAGCGAAAAGACTAACCGTCGAGTGGGGGAAATACTTGCAAATCATATTATCTGATAAGGATCTAGTCCCTAGCATACATAAAGGACATGTACAAATCAACAACAAAAAGACAACCCCATGAAAAAAAATGGGCAGAAGACATGAATACATATTTCTCCGCAGAAGATACACAAGTGGTCAATAAGCCCAGGATGCCCAGCATCATTAGTCGCTAGAGAAAGGCAAATCAGAACCATATGAGATGCCGCTTCACACGCACTAGGTTGACCATAATAATAAAAAACAAAAATGGGAAATACGCAGTGCTGGTGAGGATGTGGAGAAATTGGAACTGTGTCCCGTGCTGGTGGGAATGGAAAGTGGTCCGGCTGATGTGAACGACAGTTTGGCGGTTCCTCAAAAACTTAGATACAGAATTACGATACGACCCAACAATTCCACTCCTAGGTATATGCCGCAGAGCAATGTCCACACAAAAAGCATACACAAATGGACACAGCAGTATTATCCGTAACAGCCCCAAAGTAAAAGCAACCCAGATGTCCATCAACTGGTGCACGAATGCATAAAATGTGGTCTATCCATACAACGGAATCTTACTCAGCCTTAAAAATGGAACGAAATACTGACACCTGCCACAACATGATGAGCCTCGAGAACGTACTGCTAAGTGAAAGAAGCCAGGCACAAGAAGTCACATATCATATGATTCCATTTACAAGAAGCGTCCAGGATAGGCAAATCCATAGAGACGGGAAGCCGACTAGTGGTCCCCAGGGCCTGGGGAGTGACAGCTAATGGAGACGGGGATTTCCTTTTGGGGTAATTAAAAATGTCTCAAAACTACATAGAAGTGGTGGTCACACAACATTTTTGAGTGTACTAGATGCTATGAAACTGTATCCTTAAAAACAGTTAAAAAGGCAAATTTTATGGTCTATATGTTTTATTGCAATAAAAAATGTTAATGGTTCATTTCATGTCATATGAATTTCACCTCAATTTTAAAAGATTTTTAAATTCTTTTAAAAATGGCCTCATCAAAAGAAAAAAAAAAAAACCTTTAACCGGGTGTGGTGATGGATGTTAACTAAGTTTATTGTGGTGATCATTTTGTAATATCTACATATATCAAATTGTCATGTTGTACCCCTAAAACCAATACAGTGTTACACATTAGTTATATCTCAATTAAAAAAAAAGCATTTAGAAAACCAGAGGGAAATTATGTGATGTACTGTTATATTTTTAGTGCTCAGCTTTATTTTTCTTTGTTTTGATTTTCGTTTGTGAGAATACTATGATAAAGTAGTTTGGACTTGGAAAAAAAACGTCTAGCGCTGTGCTTGGCACTCAGAAGCCCTCTATCTGCGCTGGGATCCCCCATTTTGTCCGTCTGTGACCAAAGCTGAACCCTAGCCTAGATTTCTCCAAACTCCCAGAAGCTACTTGGCCATCCTCCAGGAGTGCTGGTGAATCTACGCACACCGCGTCTTGGCACGGTGGGGGAAACTGAGGCTAAGGGGCTTGACCTGGTGTACCAGCAGCAAGGAGACTTTGCCAGAACCTGGAACCTCCCGGCTCCCCTCCTGTGCTCACTCTGCTCTCACACACTGCCCCCCGCTCCCGCCAGCAGTTGGTATGTGCTCAGGGAATTAGAAACACATTTTCATATATTTAAGCAAATCTGCTGCTGAAGAAAAACAGATCAGAACCTGCAAAGCGAAGCCGAGCAGAACCGGCTTCCGCATCATCTGCCACTTCCTAGTTTCCTCAGCACTTGGTGCCCCGCGCGCGTCGTGGGCCAGATGGACCCTGGCCAGGTCCGAGGCCGGGCAGCCTGGGCCACGGGGGCCATGGGATGGCAACGGGGCTCTGCAGCCTGGGCCCCGGTCCTGGGGTGGCCAGGGCCGGGCGGCGAGGGGCCCCGCTCCTTTGAGCCTGCCATGCTCTGTTCCGGCCCCTGGGCTCAGGGGCTCCCTCGGGCCTCTGCCTGCCCACTGTTCCCCTCCTCCCCTCCCACCACCACATCCTTGGCCTGACCCCCCCTCCCCCCAACACTAGGAGCCAGACAGAAGAAGGGTGAATCCCAGCTCCACCCCTGAGTGGACCTAGGGAAGCCTCGGTCTCTCTATTCATCTGCCTGATGGTACAGTAAACACCCCGCCCACAGGCTTACGGGGGGCGGGGTGGTTACACGGGAGGACGAGGTCGCGTGGCTCGTCCCCTCCCCGGCATCCAAGTGCTCCTCCCTCATGTCCCTCACACCCCCACCCCATGACCTTGGACTTGCCATTCCCTCCGAGAGCGAGCCATCACTCCTCTGAATGCCTCCGACCCTTCACCCCAGACCCGGGCCCCCCATATCTGAGCTCCCACCGTACGCAGGGACTCTACCTCCCATTCCATGCCTGGTCGACAGCATTGTCTCCTGTTATGCTCTACTGTCACTCCTTTTGTCTCTCCAGCTAAATCCTGGGATGGAAAAAGAAAATCCCTTTTTTTGGAACATTCATTCTGTGCCAGGCACCCCGCTGAGGGCTCTCTGAGGCTTGTCTCACCTCATCTGTCAGCCTTCCTCTGAGCCTGTGGTTGCTGCCATCCCAAAGTTCAGATGAGAAAATCGAGCCTCGGAGCACAGGGGACTTAGCCCAAGTCCCACAGCCCAGAGGGACGGGATAACTGCAGCTCGCATTTGCCCCTTCCCGGATCCCAAGTTCTCCTCCACAGCGGGGGTAGCCTGCCCGTCTGCCTGTCTGTCCACCTGTCCACCCCCTTCCTTCCCGCACAGGGGTTTGAGGCAGCTGGTGATAATACATGCAATGCGGGAGAAACATGCAAATATATGAAAAACCAAGGCTGGAGAGTGTAGAGATGGAAGAGGAAGATGAGCTTGGGGAAGGCAGGGATGTGTACGCTGGAAAGTTCTAGAACTTCTCACACCCTTTGGAAAGCTGTTCCCTCTGGGCCCTCTCCCCTCCCCACTGCACTCCAGTTGCACTGTGCCCACTCTCCATGGGGAGTCTGGACCCAAAACCATTCCCTTAAGAAAAGTAAGGGGCAAGGATCTCACACGTGGGGGCGCTGACCTCCCAGCAGCACTGCCCGGGGCCTATCACTCGTCTGCTCCCCAGGAAGGAGACTTCACTGTGCAACGAGATGTCATGCATGGAACTATTCTTGTCCTGAGCTGGGCCCTGCCTCCGGCGTTTCAACAGAATGAGCTGCCTTAACTAAGGGTTGGGTGAAGCTCAGGTTCTAAAGTCGCTTCCTACTTAAGGACAGAGCTGTGCAGACCTCCTGGTGTGATCCGATCACAAATCCCACGAACCAGGGACTCCGGTGGAAACACGCAGGAGCTTTTGGTGCTTCCTCTGCCCTGATCGAAACCCTAGTTCTTCCTGTAAGATTCAGTTCTAATCTCTTCTCCTCTGAGAAGTCTTCCCGGATCACACCGACCTTCCACTGGCCCAACCATTTGTTCATTAAACACTTACCTCGCACTGACTGAGCCAAGAGGGACGTGCTGGGGGCGGAAAGATGAGACAGCCCTACGTCTGAGGAGCTCACAGTCCAAGGCAAAAGCAAACACCAGGAGCACAACAGCCCGCATGAATGAGCATTGGTCATACGCCAGGCGCTGTACTCATGACAGTCGTGATTGCATATCCTATTAATAGCAGCCATTTGAGGAAATAAGGCTCAGAGAGGTTAAGCCTCACGCCAAAGGTCACACAGCACAGGGTTCTAACCTCTGTCTCTCTGCCCCTAGGACCCGAGCCCTAAACCACCAAGCCAACGTCAGTGAGCTCAATGACAGGGATGTGACCAGATGGGGGCCTTCTACCCACCTGGGTTAAGGAATCAGGGAGAGCCTCCTGGAGGAGGTGGGTTCCAACCTGAACCTTGAAAACTGAGCTGGGGTTTTCCAGGTAAATGTGGAAGCCTTGGAAATGAAGGAAGCAAGGAAAGACATTCCGGGTAGAGGAGGCGGCCCAGGCAAGGGCGAGGAGGTGAGAAGCGTGGCGGGCTGGAGCATGCACGGTCAGCCGGAGTGATGGGCCTGCATCCCTCGGGGGCTCCCACCACGTCAGCTCTGTCTCCCCACACCTTGTTAGTAGTGTATGTCGGTAACATCTGCCATGCTCTCTCCTTGAGGACAGGAGGGGGCGGGGGAGAGGTGTGCCGCATGCTCTCCCCTTCGGGTTTGGGGGCCAGGAACACAGAGGGGGAAGGAAGCCTGAGCCGGCGGGCCATCAGCTTGGCACTCCTTGGTGGGAACATTTTGTGAACATTGAGGTCAGGCAGGAGGCAGGACTTCTATGACCTTGATTCTACATGTGGTGTTCAATGTCACGGTGAGGATGGGCTCGCGGACTCAAGGGTCCACTGGCCGTCTGTCTCAGTCAGCCCAACCGTCCCCTTGGGTGGGGAGATAGGGCCATGAGCTCTGTCTGCATTTAGGTAAACTGAGACACAGGGAAGGTAAAGCAGGTGCTGAGGAAGGAGGGTGCTCAAAGACACACCTTCACGGCCTTGTCTTGATTTCCCTGCCAAGCCCAAGACCAAGGCTCCGGTGCATGTAAAGTCTCCTTGGATAAAAAGTTTAATGTCCATCTATTTCAAAATCAAGAGGATCAAGACTGGATTAACGCTCATATCAAAGCCTGACGCTAGAACAGAACTCACTCTCTTCAAGCACTTCTAGATATTCTGAGAGAAGCATTTCCTTCTCTCAGGAAGCTGGTGGGGCGGGCACGGCGGCCACGGTTGCCCCCCCCCCCCCGTTACAGATGAGGAACCTGAGGTTCAGAGAATCTAAAGGACTTGCCCCAGATCACCCCGCTTGAGAATGGCAGAGCTGAGATGGGGGCTTGGGTCCTCAGACCCCAGGTCTGTGTTTTCTAGAGAGGACGCCCACAGCCTCTCTGTGGAAGCTTCCAGAGGGTCTCAGGGACGTCAGCTCCCAGCGCCACCCCCACTCCCGGGCCTCCTGCTCCTCACCATCTCCTTCCACAGGGACTCACCACGTAACCCACAAAGATCCCCCGGGATCATCAGCCACGGGCTACACCCACCACCAAGCAATTAAATAGGGCAGCTGTTTCTCAGACCCTACCCTGCCTGCCTCTGAATCGCCTGGATCGCTTGTCAAAAATGCAGTTTCTGACTCAGCAGTCTGGGGCTGGGCCTGGGATTCTGCATTTTTAACAAGGTGAGTCCAAGGACTACACTTTCGATAGCAAGGGGGGACCTGTCGGATCACTTTAAACACTACCTGCCTGGTCTGTGGCCAGCACCCCGACCCCTCTCTCTTCCCCACCGCCCCCCTTCCTCAGCATCCCTCTCCTGAGACTCAAGGGTTAGCTTTTGTCTCCAGAGGCACAAGGAGAGTGTTTGGGGGGCACTGTGGGGCTGCTCCCCACACCCAACAGCCCAGGGGTTGAGAAGCCTCTGTGGGTACCACCTCCCCCGCCCCCCTGGGCCCTGCAGCGTGGCCCGGAATGGAGGGTGGAGGGCTGCCTGTCCTTTCCTGCAGTCCTCATTGAAATTTTGCCCTTGCCCTCGGATCCTCGGTGGAGAGCTCATCCCTATTAATTCTCATTGTGCATTTAGAGCCGATAGGTTTTTATTTATTCATTTATCTGGGTCTTCTCCTCCCTCCCCTTCCTCGCCAGGCTGGAATTTACAATTCAGTTCTCAGGTGGCCTTGTGGAAGGACGGGGAGGCCTGGCGGGAGGGAGGGTCTGCACCCTGAACCCTGAAAATGGTGGCTGCTTCGTGGCCCCCCTTGCACCCTGGGGGTGCTCCAGGGCTCACACTCCCGTTGGCTGGATGTGGGGACAGGTCCAGCAGTCGCCACAGGGACCCACTGGGCACTGGCCCAGCTAACAGGTCAGTGGGTGGCTGGCTACCATTAGGGCGCCCCCTGGTGGTTCCCACCGCCGACCATGCCTGCAGGAGTCCGAGCTCCCGGACCAACCAACGGTAGGCCTGCTGCCCAGAGACTAGAAATACAGGGCGTGGCGTCCTCCAGGCTGGACAGAGGCAAAGAAGAAAAGCCAGGGACACGGCTGAGGGCGTTCTAACAATAATAATAAGCTCATAACACCTACTGCACATTGAGCACCTACTGTGTGCCAGGTCGCTCCCCCTGGCCCGCCCTTTGCCCCGCATACAGTATTATCCTTTACAGGGGAGGGGACTGAAGCTCAGAGAGGGGAGGCCGAGCCGCCTGGTGAGTAAGCACAGGCTCTGGCTGAAGATAAGTTGCCCGCCCCCCCTCCACTGCCTTTGAAACAGAGTGACCTTGGCAGGATTTAGGCAACCCCGTCTAATCCCTAAAACAGGATTAGAACACTGCCCACCTCAGAGCATCCTAGAGATGATAAAACGAGGCCCACACAGGACCTGCTCAGGGGAGCCTGCGCGGGGGTTTGAATCTATCTGGATGTGCCCCCCCCCCCCGCTCCCTGCAGAAGCCAGCCCCCCCTCCGCCTGCCAGGCACAGTCCCCATTCTTGTTGGCCGCACATTTGTAATCAAAGGCAGAGCAGGATGGCAGCCTGTAATGAAATATTTAAGTCCATCAGACAGGTGTGGAGACACTGAGGACACACCTATGCGGGAGATGTTGAAGACGCTACTCTTCTCCTGTCTTCCCAGGAGAGAAGGGGTCCCAGCTCCTCCCAGACCCCAGTGCTCAATGACACCTACCTGGGCAGGTGGGGCAGCCTTAGGATTGGGGGGTGGTGACCACCCCACCCTGGCAGCTGCCCTGGGTCCTCCCTGTGAGAGTGGGTGGGGGCAGGGCAGAGGTCCAGAGCTAAGGGCATCCTGAGCCAGCTTTGGCCAGGAGAGGGCCTCAGACTTGCATCTGATGACCATCGCCACCCCCTCAAGACCTTGACCAGAAGCTGGTCCAATGAATTATGATTTAGCTGCCCTGTCCCACACCCTTCCCCCCCCAGTACATTAAGGCAATGATTAATATTTAAGAGAAGGAATACAGTCAAGACTCTAATATGAGAGGCAGAAGTTGATGGTTCAGGGAATGTGTAGAGAAATCTTTGCATGAGCTGGGCTGGGTTGCCAGCCTAATGTTCAGGCTCAGACCTGGGCTCCACTCCCCCCCCCCCCCCCCCCACCCGACCTTCAGGAGCTAACCCCCTTGCTCATCCCTGAGCCAGTGAGGCCCTGGGATCCCCAGTGCAGTGGTCCCCAGGAGCTATCCAGCAACCCCCCTCTCCCAGCCCTGTGTTGCCTTCTTCCCTCCCTCCCTCCCTCCCCAGCTGGCTCTCTCGCCCAGCCACCATCCACAGTGACAGCCTCACGACTGACTGCTGACTGTCCAAGCGGGAAGCTACCTTCCCAGGCTGACTGCTCTGTGATAGGAATGCAGCTCCCCATGGGCCTGAGGTGTCCTCAGGAGCCCCGTGGGGATACCTGCTCAGTCCAGTCATAAGCCCAGAGACCCGGAGGCTCCCTCAAGGACACATGGAGACAGCAGCTACCCCAAAGATGACAATGAGCCCCTCCCATCAGCTCCTGCAGCCTGGCTGCTCAGCCCAGCCTCCTGCCGGGCACAGGGGTGGGGGTGGGGGGTCCAAGGCACTGCCAAGTGGGAAGGCCTCTCTCGGCAGGCAGCTTAGCTCAGTGACTTTGGAGCCAGACACTTGAATCACAGCTTTACCACTTCCTGGTGGGACTTTGAGCCTCAGTTTCTCCATCTGTACAACAAGAATGACAAGAGCTACCATCTATGGGGCACTTGCTATGTGTCAGGCCCTACTCTGCATTTTACATGTGTGAATCAGCTCACTTGCCCCTATAATGCCCATTTTACAGACGGTGGAATAGAGGCCCCGAGCTGCCACTGGTTCAGAGCCCACCCCCCAAGCTCCTTTATACACCAGAGAATCAGCCTGGCTGAGCTGACGGGGGGACTTGCATAGCACCCCCCAAACTTCTTTATACACCAGAGAATCAGCCTGGCTGAGCTGACGGGGGGACTTGCATAGCAAGCTCTTAGCCCACACGCAAGGGGCTCCCGTGAATGGTCCTGGCTATTATGACCACTGTTGTTGTTGGTAATACTGACTACTGAAGTAGTCCATGGCTCTAAGACCCCATCCTTCTCTAATTAAGGGCTCAAGTGACAACCCCTGAGCAGCCGCCATCCCCCTGACTTAGCCAGTGGCTGTAGTCACTGCACATAGGGGTGGGGTTGAAAAGAGAGCCAGCCACACCGTCCATTCTGGTCTGACTCTCTCCTTCCACCCTTATGAATCCCCCCCTGCACATCCATCAAACCTTCCCCCGCAGAGTTCCAGGTTGGTGCGTGGCATACGCTGACCTGGCAAAACCGTCTGCTGGATTGGATCAGGTGGGATAGGACGTGGTCCCACCGAAGGGATGAACAGAGTGCAACATTGCAGAGAGTGCCCTGCTCCCTCGCCCAGGATGCTGACTTCCTGACTACGGAGGCGGGGCCTGTCTGCGCCAGCCGGCCCAGGAACGATCACTACCATGGTCTTCCCAAGAGAAAACGATCTGGTGGTCAGCTGGTCAAGAAGGTACCCATCCCAGAGAATGACGCCACATGACCGCAGAGCCCTGGGGGTGGCCTTTGCTTTGGCACTGCTCCAAGGTGGGACAGCCATCTGCTCCCAATCTGAGATGCGGGAAAGTCAACCTTGCATCTGGTCCTCCCATTCTGCTCAGCCATCACCAGAGTGTGTCCCAGACCCCCTCCCCCTTGGCCTGAGCAAACAGAACAGCGGGGAGGGGGGTGTTGACTTACGTGGGAGCAGAATCTCTCAGGGGGGTCTCCGCACGTGATGCCTGAGGGCTCCACCTTCACCTTGACGTAGTCCTTCAGCCGCATCACTTTGGGCTGGCAGGCGTAGAACTCCCAGGTGGGGCCCTCATCCGTGGTCACCCAGGATTTGCAGATGTCGTAGTCCCCAGAGGCCAGTGGGAGGCAGTGCAGGAAAAGTGCAAGCAGGTGCAGCATGGCTGCGCAGTCCGCAGGGGCGTGGCCCGGAGAGGCCCTGGAGAGGCAGCAACGGGGTCAGGCGGGACTCTCGGCCTCAGCATGGAAAGTGCCACATCTACCAGGCAACGGTGGCTGGATGTCCCAGGGACTCGAACACGGCCGGGTTGCAAAGAGCGAGGAACTTGTTTCTTCCCAAAGGCTGACTTGGAAAACTCAGAGCCAGCGTTTCTCAGACTGCTGATGGGCAGATCAAAAAGTTGCCCATAACTTCATGTCCTCCTAACCTTGGCATTGCACCTCTCCCAGAGGTGAATCTGATCAAATCAGGCAGGCTCTCAAATTGTGACAGTGGATGGAAATGGGATAGGGAGCAAATCCTCAGGGATCTGGCATGAGGCCGGATCAGATTGCTTTTAATTTTTGTCCTTCCAATCAATCCAGGTCTTTAAAGGGCCCTGAATGTGTGATGTGCTCAACACAACTGCAAAACAACCCTCCAGCCTGCATTGTAAAGATAAAATAAAATCAGGAGGTGTACGTGTTAGCTGGAAACATGTTCCCTCTATGGGACTGGGCTGGCATCTCAGACCAATAAAAGAGATTTCTTTTCATGTGGGCTTAAAGTGACAACAATTGTGTGGCTGGACTGCAACATAAAAAAGCGACTGAGGTTTTTAACTGGGGAGAAGCTTATTTGGCTCTGCTTTGTGGGGACAGGCACTAATGGGGGCCAGCTGACCTTGGCTGGTAGCCATCGGCAACTTATTATGAAGTTTCTGACACTTCGGCTCTCAATCCATCCAGGTACCCCGGGGCTGGCTTGTCTTTCATTGTAAGAGGGGAGGAGAGAGAGCTCATTAGCAACAACACCTGCAACAAATTAAAAAGAGAAGGGGGGACGATAAAGATGTATAAGAACAAAAGCTCTCTGGCAAAATGTGCAAAAGATGAGGCTGCATTAGCAAGGTCTCCCGAGAAAACTGGGTTATTTTTATTAATATCAGAGTTGCACATTTGGAGATTGGGCACATTATTTAAAAGGTGACTCGCTTTTCTCCCCCTCTTTTCTGGGGGTGTTAGGGCAGCAGAAGTGCCCCTGCTTGGGGTCACCGACTTCCCAGGACATGCTCAGGGGTCAAGATTGAGTGGTGGCTTTAACTACCGAGACCAAAAAGTCAAAATGCCAAAGCTCTCACCATAGGAGCCGACGAGCCTGTACAGACAGGTACAGATCCGAGTGGGGGCCAACAAGTAAGAACCGGGTGCTGATAAATCTCTCCCCAAATTCTGCAATGGTCAATTTAATTTTCAACGCTAAGAAACTAGGGACAGTGAGGACTTCCGCAGGAGTGACGATGGTTTGTCATATTAGATTTTTCTGATCAAGGCCAAAATTTTGCAATCATCTTTGGAGGGTGTGTCTATAAATGAGTCCCTATTATGATTATTGCTTTACTATTTTAAGCTACTGATAATTATTTAAGAGCCCAAATAGCTATAACTGAGACAAATGTTACTTTGCAGAAAACATGACTCCAGTAATGTGGTGTGTTCCCAGACACTGGATACCTCACCAGGAGAATCTGAGTGCGGCCAGTGTGGGATCCTGGCCAAAAATACTAGCCAATAGGGCAAAGGTTATGCAATGAGTCACAGAAGAAGCACCCGTGTTATTAATTATTCTGATTATTATACCTATGATTATTGCCTCTTAATCCCCAAACTGCTTCGGCATTGCTGCTAACCTCAGCATGATTCTCACCTGACACCTTCTTGGGCCACATTGTACACGGATGAGTCCCTGAAGAGTTAATCACGTTTCCATGAAACCCATTCTCCCCCCAGACACAAACACACTGCTGTCAAAAATGACAAACCAGGGAAGTGGACATTGTCCAGAGGGGGCTGGCCCCTCACCTGGGCTGCCCGAAGAAGCCCCCAGCCAGTGCCCCATGCTCCTGGTCAGTGGGGGGGGGGGAATCATAAATCTGCATTAATGCCACCCCTGCCCCCTTTCTCTGGCTGAAGGGCTCTTGATGGAGATGAATGAGGAGCCGAGGGGGGACCACATTTTCACTGCTCACCTCTGGCTGTTTAAAAGAGAAACCTGTTACAGAACCTGCCTGGCCTTGAATGGGCTCCTTTCTAGAAACTCTCAGAAAGAACCCGCCTGGCGACTATTTTTACAACCTGAGAAAATGTAGTAAAAATAAAATAGCGCGGCCGGCAAAGGTTTGGATGCCTTTACCCAAGCTTCGAGCTGCCCAGAAAACAGCAGGTCCCTAATTAATTCTTCCAGCCGAGGACTCCCAACTGTTCACTAACAGGTAGGGAGCTCCTGACGGGAGGCGACACCCGGGCGCTGGCTGTGGGCTTCCTTCATCTGCAGGACCAGCGGCTGCTCCGGGGTGGGGTGGGCGTGGGGGGTTGGACCGCGCTGTCCGACTCACGGGCGCGGGGAGGCAGCGAGGCCGGGAGGCCGGGAGACCACGGAGAGCCAAGTGCGGAGCAACTCGAAGATCTTTGCAGTTCTTTTGGTTTAAATGCCGCCCATTCCCTGGAAAATGGGGTGTTGGGGGGTAGCCAAGAACAACCCAATCTGCTGGGGGCGGGGTAACAAATGTGTTTACAACTAGTCAATCAACGGGGCGTTGCTGGTATTATAGGGAGAATTGTGAGCTCAGCAAGGGAATATTACAGTCGGCTTCTGCCAAAAAGAAAAACAAAAAAACAACACACACACACACACACACACACACACACACACACACACACACACA